CTGATCTGCGGTATGTCTAGATTTCACTGTCCTACACCAGTCTCCCAGAGATGAATGTCAGCGAAGGTGTCCAGGTTTGCATGTATCGGTCTGTGCTCCCATGCAGAGAGGCTGTTAGTTGCTCCATTCCATGGATTTCTTCAACCTTGTCCATCCAATCTTGGAGGGTGGGTACTTGCATGGTTCACCACCTCATTGGGACTAGCATTTTGGCCAAATTCAGTAAATGCTTAGTTAGCGACTTTTTGTATTTCGAAAGGGGTAGCGAGGTGTGGTGAAGAAGCATCTGGAGTGGTTGAAGCAGGATATCAGTGTCTAAGATGTTTTTGATCTGTGAATGTATTTGTTGCCAGTATGCGGATATGTTTCTGCAGGACCACCATATATGCAGGTCCGTGCCCACCTCGTCTTCACAGCGCCAACAGGTCGCTGAGGCATCCGGTATCATCCTGTGTATTTTCTCAGGCGTCCTGTACCAGTTGGTCAGCAGTTTAAAAATTGAGTTCCTGTTGTTTGGTACACATTGAACTTTGATGTGTCAATATATGGATTTCTGTCCATTGGGGGGCCCTCACTGTGACTCCCGTGGCTTCTTCCCAGCGCGTAGTGTGTTTTAGGGGTTCGGGCTGCAGTGAGGTCAGTAGCATTGTGTAGAGGTAAGATATTCCTCTGCACAGGTGTTTGCTTTTCGTGCATAGTTGTTCAAATTCTGTCAGGGGCCTGTGGAATAGGTGTCTACCATAGTGGGATTGATAGTAGGTTTTAGTTTGAAAGTATCGTAATCTATCCAGCCCCGATGGTATCCATTCTGGCATCAGATCTTGTAGTTGCTTCAGCGAATCCCCCGTACACCACTGGTGCATGTACGTCCGAAGGCCTTGATATCCTGTGGTGTAAGGCCACCCGCTAGGTCTGGATTATGCATGTTCGGCGTCAGTGGTCCTGGGGTGGTGGTTAGTGTTAGGTTGGTCCTTATGGAGTACCAGGTTCATAGCGTCGCTCCAATGAGCGCGTGGCTATGGGAGCACACACCTGTCAAGAAGCCCCTGAGCCACACCGCCACTGGAATCGACCCATCCATCTGGCTCCGTTCCATGTGTATCCATTGTTTGTTAGTTTTGGGCACGTGCCAGTACACAACTCTATGTAGATGTGTTGCTCTATAGTAATTATAGTAATCCAATATTGATGGAAGACCCACTCCGCCTTGTGCCTTGGTTAGGCAGAGGTGTAGTTTTTTTCAGTCTGGGTGCCTTAGATTTCCATATAAACCTGGTGATGGCTGTGTCCATAGTTCGGAAGAAGGTCCTCGGGACGTTGATTGGTATAGTCTGGAAAAGGTACAGGAGTCAGGGTAGGAGTTTCATTTTAATTGCATTCATTCTCCCGAACCATGAGACGCATAGTCCTGCCCACCGTATTAGGTGCGACCCCAACTTGTTTATCATCGGTGCGAAGTTGTGTGTGTATAGCTGGGCCAGGTCCGCCGTCAGTCAGCTACCTAGGTATTTGAGCCTGGTGTGACACCACGTAAGGCGTATTGGGTCTTGAGGTGGGTAATCATCGCCTCTACCGTCGAGAGGTAGAGGCGATGCTCACTGTAAAAAAAAACAAAAAAAAACCCTATTGCCCCCACCGCTGTGCGACGGGTGGGGGCCCTAAATAAGAATTTGGAGGGGGGACCTACTGTCCTCCCCCCTGGCCCCCACCCCTGAGCGGCAGGTGGGGGCCCTAAATAACAATAAGGGGGGGCCTACTGTATGGCGGGTGGCGGTCCTAAATAACAATAAGGGGGGGCCTACTGTCCCCACCCCTGTGCGGTGGGTGGGGGCCCTAAATAACAATAAGGGGGAGGGACCTAATGTCCTCCCCCCGAACCCCTCACCTGAGCGGTGGGTGGGGGCCCTAAATAAAAATGTACCCCCCCAGGTGACTAGGGGTCCCCAAACCCCTAGTCACCCCCCTCCCCCCAAAGAAATTACCCCTACCTACCCCCCTCATCCTAAAAATAATGAGGGGGGACCCTTATCTAAATACCTGTTACAAAAAAAATATATACTTACCATTTGATGTCTTCTTTCTTCTAAACTCTTCTTTTTTCAGCCCAAAAAAAGGCCAAATAAAAATCCATAATAACCGACGCACTTTAAAAAAAAAAGAGCGCCCTGCAATTAGGCTCAGAGCTCTCTGATTGGTGGGTTTAAGCCATCCAATCAGAGTGCTCTGACAGGTAAATAAAGAGACTGACAGGTATGTCTCTACATTTACCTGTCACAGCACTCTGATTTGTTGGCTTGAAATCCACCAATCAGAGAGCTCTGAGCCTAATTGCAGGGCGCTCTTTTTACACAGCTCTGTGTCATTTTACACAGCGTGGGAAAGTTTTTTTGAATTTTCCAATGCTGTGTAATTTGACTCCTAACATTTTGATTGGTTACTTAATCCACCAATCAGAGTGTTCTGTGTCATTTTACACAGCGTGGGAAAGTTCTTTGGATGAATCTGGTATCAGAAAATGCAAAAGGGAGATTAGTTATATGTGGAGATACTAATTTTATATTAGATATTGAGTTAGATATAGTGAGAGAAAGGGGTATTTACTCAAAAGGGAATGAGAGTGCAAAACTAGCTGAATCCTGTTCAAAATTAATGCTTGCTCATGGTTTGTACGATACATGGAGAATGCTCCATGCAGGCGAAAAGGATTTTACCCATCACTCAGTACAGTACCATATTACTGTATTAAATAACTACTTTGAGGACAATAGTTCAAAGGTTCCTGATGGGGTGGTCTGGAATGCGCAAAAGGCTGTTTTGCGAGGTCGTTTCATACAAAGGGCGTCTTATCTGAAGAAGGCTAAAATGAACAATCTAAAAACACATTTGAAAAAGGCAACACGGTCTCATCTCTTCTGGCATTGAAACTTAAACACAGAATGTCACCATCTTGGACTGAATATGTGTTAAATGACAATGGTGAAAAAATTACCCATCCTATCAGAATCAGTAACACGTTCGCCACTTTCTATAAATCATTATATAATAATAATTCTAATTCGGAGATTATTCAACCAACACAAGAAAAAATAAAACATTTCTTAGATAAAATTGATTTACCTAACATATCTCAAGGAAAATTGGACTCTCTAAATTTGAAATTAAAATAACAGGTGTTGGAGGCGATTAAATACACCCCTACTGGTAAGGCACCTGGTCCTGACTGGTTTACAATGGTGTACTACAAGACATATTCTAATATTCTAGCCCCACATTTAACTAGGCTGTTTAGTACATTCTTTGCCAAGTGAGAGTGCAGACAAATGTAAGAATTTCAGGCCAATTCCATTGATTAATAACGACACCAAATTATATGCTAAGATTCTGGCTTATAGGTTAGCAAAGATTATCCTCTTTAAGATCTATAGAGATCAAGTCGGATTTGTACATGGCAGACAAGCCCCAGATGGAGCCAGGAAATTCATCAATGTAATACATCAAACTAAAGAGTCATGTGTGCCTTCTCTGCTCCTTTCTTTAGATGCAGAGAAGGCATTCAATAGGATCCACTGGGGATATTTGAGAAATGTTTTGGAAAAATGTAATATCCCTAAACTGTTTATTTTGGCTGTATTTGCTTTGTATGGTCATCCCACAGCAAGGGTCTCTGCTTCTGGTTTCCTATCTGATAGCTTTCCTTTGACAAATATGGACAAGGCAGGGGTGTCCATTATCCTCATTCTTAGGAACCCCTAGCAGAAATAATTAGGAAAACACCGGAAATTGAAGGCATTAATAATGGTGATACAAGTCATAAGATAGGACTATTTGCAGATGACATCATACTGTCACTAAAGAACCCAATCAAATTCATACATTTCATATTACAAACTCAATACTCAGCCTATAGACTGAAAGCTCGTTTGAGCAGGGTCCTCTTCAACCTATTGTTCCTGTAAGTTTTCTTGTAATTGTCCTATTTATAGTTAAATCCCCCCTCTCATAATATTGTAAAGCGCTACGGAATCTGTTGGCGCTATATAAATGGCAATAATAATAATAATAATAATAAAACCCAAGCACTACCATTTAATATTTCATGGTTCAATTTGGATAAACTGAAAGAAGAATATATTTTTGAATGGAAAGATTCATGAATTTAATATTTAGGCATAAATTTATGCAAAACTTTGTCTAAAATGTATGACCATAATAAAAAAAAAAAAAAAAAGATTACAAAAAGAGATGGAAAGGTGGTGCAGTATGGAGTTATCTTGATGGGCAGATTGACATCTATTAAGATGAATATTCTGTCCAAGATATTATACTACCTTAGCACAATTCTTTTGTCCACTTCATTGTCCTTTTTTAATAAGATACACTCAACTTTGATCAAATACATCTAGAATAATAAACTGAGTAGGATAAGGTTGATAACTATGCAACATTTAAAGGTGAACGGTGGTCTTGGTGTCCCAGATTTTAGGAAGAATTATAATGCTGCTAATGTGGCTTCTGGTTTTAAATTTAACATGGATCATAACAGGCCGAGGTGGCTAGAAATGGAAGCAGAAAAGATTCAACCATATTCTATTAAAGAACTGTTATGGCTGCCTTTAAATGGACACCCTAAGGCTAAACACAACCAAGATTACCATCAAGGCGTAGGATATTATTTTTAGTAGTGTTAGAACATCCTCCAGTTTATCATGAGCAATGCCATTATCCATTCTAAACCATTACTTACCCCCTCTAGATCTAACCTTTTGGCACTCCTATTCTATATATAATTTGGATTTTTTTTTTTTCAGGGAATTCCCTTTTAACATTTGATCAATTTAAAGAAAATTTTGATTTGGACAATTCTTTTTTTTATCAAAATATACTCTAATAACAAACAAATTGAAAGAAAATGTTGAAATATTGGAATTGGGTAAAGGAGATAAATCATTAAAAATTTCTAATTTAGAAAAAATATATCTCCTCAATCCAAATCATAAAGGCATAATCTCATAATACTATTTCCATATTTCTCCTAGGCCCACACCTAAATTATGTTTTATGGAATCATTGGAAAGAGATTTGGGAGTTCACTATGAACTGGAGGATTGGATAAGTTTTATTCTCACCTTGAGAGGTATCATGCAGTCATCATGAGAATCATTTACAAGTTCTCTATCTTTGGTACCTGGTTCCATCACGCCTTCACAAAATGAATTCTAAAGTCTCAGACAGATGTTGGAGGGAATGTAATGAGATGAGTACCAAGTCACACATTTGGTGGTATTGCACTAAACATGCTAGATTCTGGAGTGATATTCATAAACTTGTTAAAACTGATGATCCACATATTACCACCTTTACATCTGAACTCGGTCTATTTAATCTGTTAATAAAGTAGATAGAGTAATCATAGGACATATTCTTATAGCCGCCACATCATTCTTACACAGATATTGGAAATCCCCTTCTATACCCTCTATAGTTGATGTACCAAAGTTAGCATTAGAAAACAAATCGTATGAGATGGCTATTAGACAGCCATCTTTACTATGGGATCAGCTTCATTATTTCTGGACTAAGTGGAAAAACAAGGTTAAAAAATCTTATCATTTATAATTTAAGATATTCAAACTGTAAATTATTAGTTGTACAAACTTGTTTTATTTGTTTTACATAGATATATTAAAATTGTTTTATTATTATCAATAAATATAGACATATCAATATTGCACAAAAATATTGTAAATTCAGATGGATACTTCCCGCAAGTTTCCCCTTCCCAATTTTTTATTATTGTTCATTTAATTATTGTCATTTGTATTTTATTCTAATATTAAATACCTTATAAAAACTATTTAAAAAAAAAAAAGTTAATCTGACAAAACATCTTAATATGGCATGACATTTTTTTCAAAGATTGTAAACTAGTTTGGGCAAGGCCTTCTTCATCTACAATTCCTGTATGTCAAACATATTATGTTAGAATTAAATATTTTTGTCTATTGTACAGTGCTGCTGAATATGTTGGCGCTATATAAATTATTGTCATTATCATTGTAAACATAAAATGTATTTTCCTCCGTGAAAAAAATTAAAAAAATCTATAATTTAATATGAAGCTGTATTTGTCATGACAGGTACCATTTAAGGGGATACTATAGACACTAAAACAACTTTAACTTAATAAAGCGGTTTTGGTGTATAGATCGTGCCCCTATGCTGTCTTTGTGCAGTACAAATTTATGCATACACATGCACTTTCTCTATTCCCTATAAATACACATATATGAAGCATGGGGGGATGGTTGCACTCACCTGAACATGCTTAAATGGGGTGCTGCTGGAGGCCATATTATACAATAAACAATACACAAGATCCAGCGCACTCTCCTATCTACTAAACAGCAACTTCAATGTTGACAGATTTTATTCGTTTTTTTAAAAGTTTTTTCTAAAGGTTTTTAAAAAAAACACCTAATCTAGGCAAAAATATAATAAATACACACATGAATGCACTCTGCATTATAAATACATATCTACACACATTTGCACACGCCCTGCCAGTTACAAAAACACAAACACCTGAATTTTCTGTCTGTTACACACACGCATCAGCACTGACAGAACTAATGTAGAGAAGGCAACACACACAGATACATATATACTGACATAAATAGACATACACATTGTAATGGACCGTTTTGCACATAAGCGTTTAGGCAATATTCCCCTTTCTCAGCTGCACAGACAGCTACTGCAAGCACCAATCTCCCGAACTGCAAACCCACGAATTCACCAACTCCCGAACTGCAACCAAGGGAATACTCGAAACACCTGAACTGCATACCAAGTAGCACTCCAAACTCCCGAACTGGAGACACACGAATAGCTGTTAGCAGAACAAGAAAAGCCCCCAAGTGGCTTACACTCCTGGCAATCAGTCTCTAACAGCATACAGTAAATCCCCCAAAGACGAGACGACACTTCGTTTTGAGGGTCAAGCAGAAACAGGTTTACTGGGGCTAACTGCCTGGCTTTTATGCAGGTCTCCCACCTGGTGGACACTCCCCTAGGGGACCAGATGGGAGACTGGGACACAAAGGGTACAAGAACCAATCACAGACTTACAAATTTCAACAATCCCACAATGCATCACAATCCCTCCTCTCTGTCCTGGAGATAATTGGGAAGTAATCTAATTATCTCCAAGGACAGAGGCAAAACTCCATTACACACATTTTCAGTAAAAGACATAAAATTACACACAGTTACATTTATTACATAAAACATAGACATTCTACATATCCCCAGATAGCTTAGATCTGAGCGCATATTACTACCGAATGGCGCTCAGATCACATACATATAGTTCAATCGCCATGGAGCCAAAGTCTTTCACATAGTCTTTCGTTTCACGAACAGGCTCCATGGCTTAGCTATCTGGGATGATGCTGTTCATCCAGTTAAATTACCGAATGAACAGTCATTCGGTTCCACTACCGAATGGGAAGGTAAGGAGGCTGGCGGCTCAGCGGTGTTCGCGCCAATAAGTGTCCGTTTTCAGTTCCATAGTTTGGGTGCTGAACACCGCTGGCCATTCGGGAGGTAAAATGGGCGCTGCCACGTGTTCGGCAACTGAACAAAGGCCACCCAGCGTTCATCAATTAAGCTGCGGTTAACCGCATCTTCTGGGCGGTCAATTAACAGCACACTCCAGTTCCCAGGTGGTCCATCGTTCGGTAGTTTGTTCGGTAGATGGAATCTACCGAACACCTTGGCAGAAAGGTACGAATAAACCTTTCAGCAGGGAAAATAACAGGTCTGAACTGCAGGGCCATAGTCTAAAGGGAGCAGGCGAGCAACCAGGCTTCTCCAGTGCATAGTGGCGAGGTTGGTTCCGCCACACACATAGACACAAACACAGATACATAAACATAGCGACACAGATACAGTCGTATCGTAGCTCTGCTCCCACTTCCTCTCAGCACCATCTCACAGGGGGCTCAATCCTGCTGTTAAAAGGCTGTGGTGCCAATTCTGGCCCCTAATCAGAGATGTTCATCTAATGTGTCTCTGTAAGAGACACACAATGTGCCCCAACAGCCTGCGTATCTATCACGTACAAACATTCAGACTTTATGTCCCTAAAATAGAAATACACATATGCAGGCACTCTGTCCATTGCAAGTCTATATAAATACAAGTATGTCCTCTCTCTGCAAATTGTCTTGCAATTTTTTATTTCAACTGTGCAATTTAAGCAGAACTACCAGCACCTAGATGATTGTATTATTTATGTATTCCATAAAAGCCTGAGGAAAGAAAAATACCATAGAAGAAAGTCTGGAAGCCACCTTAAAGGGTCCCATATGCTCAGATTTTAGAGCCTATATCCAAAAGGCTCTCTAACATGTAGTGAGACTATATATGTAATTTTCCACTCTTTTAGATATTGTTAAAACATATTGCACCAAATTCTTTGTATATTTTCTGCCCTTTCATATGTCTATATACCCCATACAAGTCAAATGGGTAAGTAATGTTTAAATAGCGCTGCACTCGCACTTTTGTGTTTAGGTGGTGGGGCACATCACCTAAACATTGAGTTTGTTTGGTTCACTCGGCAATACAATAAAGTGCAGTAAAATCCCTCCCTCCTTTTTAATCCCCTTAATTGATATTGATGTAGACCGATTTGTTCCTTGATTCCTCCCGGTGTAGTTCGAAGGGTATTTCCGGGGTCCGTTTCTGGCTGACGTCATCACGTTCAGAACGAAGTGACGTCATGCGTGTCAGACGTGCGTTTCATTTTCTTTCTTTGTCAGATAACTTTTCCCCCTCCAATTTCATCTTTAATGATGTCACCACGTTCCATGTGAGGTGACGCCTGACGTCATGCGTTCCATTGGGACGTCATGTTTTAGCGCATGTTTCAAAGTCCCCTTGGCTGCTAAAAAATAAATATATATGTATACATATATAATGCATATATAGGATTTCATTACAAGTGTACTTTGAGATATATACACACATATATATATATATATATATATATATATATATTGTGACCTGGGACCATACAACCACACAGTGTTAATGATAGGAACACCACACAAATCGAATTTCTTGTAAATGCAGTCTTTTATTAAGAGGTCTGGCAATTTAAACAAAAAGAAAAGCCTTGCTCTTCTGAGCACTGACAGTTTTTTTCTCTAGCTGCTGTTGGGTGGCTTACCAGCTTCCAACCATATAAAATACAAATTTGAGCACAGACCTTTTTCAAATAAATGTTTCCTTTCTCCTTCAGAACACCAAGACTCTTGTAAGGAGAAATGCAGTCTCACACACTGCTTGTCCTTTTCCCTGTGAGTCCCTGACAGGGAAATTTTATAGCAATCTTGTGCTAATCATTGCCAACAGGTGAGCAACTATCTGGGTGAACCAGAACTCCTGGACTGGCTCACTTGCTGTGCTGTATGTAAACTGTGGAATGGAGCACTATAAATATATATATATATATTGTGACAGAGTGCAAATCATTGTTATGGATTGAGTGTATATGTCTCCAAACATATTGGAATATGTAATTAATAGCCCCAGGAAGAAGGTCTGTCTGTTTTAGTCAGAGCAATTTTGCAGTTTAATATGGGTTCCTAGGGGGGAGCATTTGAAGTGAAGGGAGGGCCAGTGCTCCATTCCACAGTTTACATACAGCACAAATTAAATTTTTTTTTTAATAAAAAACAAATAAAAAATCAAAATTTGGCCAGTGTTTGTGGCAACTACAAAAGACTGGACATACCCCATTTTGAATACCGTGGGTTGTCTACTTTTACAAATGGTATGCCATGATGGGGTTCATTTTCATTTCTGGGCTGCTATACGGTCTCAAAGGCAACATAAGCCCAGCAAACCAATCTGGCAAATTTCAATGTGCAAACATGGAAAAGGGGAAAGTCCTACATTTGACCCTGTAAGTTTGCAAGAACCCATAAAACCTGTAAATTGGGGGCAATGTTGTACTCAGGAGATGTTGCTGAACACATATTGGGGTGTTCTTTGTCAGTAACATATAACAGGATGTATATAAAACGGGAGAGCGCAACTCTATTAATATAAAAGCAAGTAAATTATAAATTGGTGTATATATCACAAAAATTTAAACCAAGCAGCTATATACATAAAGAATTTCCTTAAAACTACACATTCAACAATACTTAAAAATAAGTGTAAGCGCTATACTTAGAAAACCTTAAAATAGGTGATCTACATATACATATTTGTAAAATAAAATATGCGTATTCTAAAGAAGATAAAATAAAAAAATGAGAGGTGAAAGAGGAGTGATTTGTAAGCACCGGTCCCCATTTCCAGCTTTCTCCCGGCACTAATACTTGGTTTATCAGCACTGAGATCGAGCTGGAGTTTGTACAAGCAGGACGACGGGCGGTAAAAGTTTCTATATCTCACATACACCCATGTTTGATTGTGGTATCTTGGCAACAAGTACCACCATATGCTGATGTAAGGGTTCCCTTTGGGGGAGAGGGTGTCTTGTTCTTTTTAAGGTACGGAAACTACTGTGTGTTAAAATACCACCATTTAAAATACTCTGGGGTGTCTACTTTTCACAAATATATATGGTTTGATGGGGTTAATTACATTGTATGACTTCAAAAATGTCCCAAATAGGACATGGGTGCATGATGACCAGCTGTGAAAATTCCAAGTTGGAAAACAAGAATGCGCACCCTCCAAATAAGGTCTTTTAGCCCCCAGAGAACCCAACACACCTATACAAGGATGGTATCACTGTACTCAGGAGATGTTGCTGAACACATATTGGGGTATTCTTTGACAGTAACCATTAGAGTTCTCTGTATATGTATTCTTAAATTGCTATGTGTGTCAAAACAATCACCAATTATTATTATTATTTTTTTTATTTGGCATAGGTTGGTGGTAACATGGTTGCATGAAAAGAGTCAAAATACCCCAAGTTAATACCTTAGGTTGTCTTCTTTTAAAAAATATATACATGTGAAGAGTTATTCAGGGATTTCTGATAGATATCAGTGTTACAATGTAACTTAACTTTATGTAACTTAACGTTAATTTTGGGGAAAAAATGGTCTGGAAATAGCAAAGTGCTACTTGTACTTATAGCCCTATAACTTTCCAAAAAAGCTAAGAACATGTTAACATTGGGAATTTCTAAACTCAGGACAAAATTTAGAAACTATTTAGCACGGGTGTTTTTTTTTTTTGACGGTTGTAAATGTGTAATTTGGGATCCAAGTTCAAAAAAGTGTGTTATTTAACATTTTTCCATCAAATTTTATAATTTTTTTTTATAGTAAATTACATGATATGATGTAAATAATGGTATCTTTAGAAAGACCGTTTAATGGCTAGAAAGACCGTTTAATGGCGAGAAAAACGGTATTTAAAATGTATGGGTACAGTAAATGAGTAAGAGGCAAATTACAAATAAACACAAACACCGCAGAAATGTAAAAAGAGCCCTGGTCCTTAACGGTAAGAAAATTTTAAAATGGTCTGGTCACTAAGGGGTTAATATATAGCAAATAGGATGCATTTCAAATTTCGTATATGACACGATGCTGTATAGTACATTTTTCTATACACTATATCAGTGACTTCAACTTATGTATAATTTATATGGCGCTGTATGAAATTAAATAATTGAAAAATAAATGATGTGTATTTATTGCATAAACGCTAATATAAACAGAATATGACACACTAGTAAAATGCATGCTGTGTTTTTTAAGGTTTGATAACAATGCCATATGAGACTGGCCTTATGATATGTCACATGTCTTTTCTTTATTTCTTATTATTTGATATGACCTTCTTTTAAACAAAACTTGCAGAAGGTCTCAACTATGAATTGGCAGTATTGTCCGTCACATGGCAAAATCCCACATCCTTGCAGTTGTTCTCTCAATCTACAAAAGTAGATTTTCCACAGTTAAGTAACTTCCCTGATGCTTTCTCAGGGGATCTACCATTCTTGCAGGGTTTTATTCGCGATCAGTGTTTGTGTGTTTTAATGTAAGCATGTTTTTGCATGTGTGTATGTATGCATGTGAATGCAGGGGTGTATTTGTGTATAGTGAATGCACATGTGTCTCTGTATATTCTGTTGCCAATTGATTGCAGTGATGTATTTATAGTGCTTTCTTTTAAATGCAGGGTTTGTATGTAGTGTTGGTGTTTGAATGCAGGGGTGGGTTTGTATGTAGTGTTGATGTTTGAATGCAGGGGTGGGTTTGTATGTAGTGTTGATGTTTGAATGCAGGGGTGGGTTTGTATGTAGTGTTGGTGTTTGAATTTGTATGTAGTGTTGGTGTTTGAATGGAGGGGTGGGTTTGTATGTAGTGTTGGTGTTTGAATGGAGGGGGGGGTTTGTATGTAGTGTGGTGTTTGAATGGAGGGGTGGGTTTGTATGTAGTGTTGGTGTTTGAATGCAGGGGTGGGTTTGTATGTAGTGTTGATGTTTGAATGCAGGGTGAGTTTGTATGTAGTGTTGATGTTTGAATGCATGGGTGAGTTTGTATGTAGTGTTGATGTTTGAATGCAGGGGTGGGTTTGTATGTAGTGTTGGTGTTTGAATGCCGGGGTGGGTTTGTATGTAGTGTTGGTGTATGAATGCAGGGGTGAGTTTGTAGGTAGTGTTGATGTTTGAATGCAGGGTGAGTTTTTATGTAGTGTTGATGTTTGAATGCATGGGTGAGTTTGTATGTAGTGTTGATGTTTGAATGCAGGGGTGGGTTTGTATGTAGTGTTGATGTTTGAATGCAGGGGTGGCTTTGTATGTAGTGTTGGTGTTTGAATGCAGGGTGAGTTTGTATGTAGTGTTGGTGTTTGAATGCAGGGTGAGTTTGTATGTAGTGTTGATGTTTGAATGAAGGGGTGAGTTTGTATGTAGTGTTGGTGTTTGAATGCAGGGTGAGTTTGTATGTAGTGTTGGTGTTTGAATGCAGGGTGAGTTTGTATGTAGTGTTGGTGTTTGAATGCAGGGGTGGGT